GCCTCGTGGGCCGGAGCGACCATGGGGGCGGCCCTGGCCCCTGCTGGGATGTCAGGGTGGGGTGGAGAGCGGGATGGACTCTCCGGGCTTGGGGGGCCCTCTCCCCTGGGCTGGGCGCTCAGGGAGCCCTCTCTCCAGGCCCAGGAGACCTGCACCGTCAGGGCCGAGCCGCTGCTGCTGGTGCGGATCAACGCCTCCGGGGGCCTGATCCTGAGGATGGGGGCCGTCAACCGCTGCCTGAAGCACCCCCTGGCCAGGGACACCCCTGTCTGCCTCCTCGCTGTCCTTGGGGAGCAGCACTCGGGCAAGACCTTCCTCCTCAACCACCTGCTCCGGGGCCTGCCTGGCCTGGTGAGGACGGGTCCGGGAAGGGGCTGGGGTCCTGGCCTGGCTTCGGGAGGGGAACGGGTGCTGGATGGTGCAGCGGCGCACTGCTTCTTTGCCCCACAGGAGTCTGGCGAGGGCAGCTGGCCGAGGGGAGGAGGCTCCCTGCAGGGGTTCAGATGGGGTGCCAGCAGCCTGACCAGGGGCATCTGGATGTGGAGTCACCCCTTCCTGCTGGGGAAGGAGGGGAGGAAGGTAAGGGGACAGGGGCAGAGGAGTTAAGACTGGCTCAGGGCGTGTGAAAGGAGGACAGAGCAGGGAGGGGCACGGGGGAGGGGAGCGGAGCAGAAAGCTTTGGGGGCCAGGACGAGAGGACTGGGGTCGGGGGTGGCGCAGAGGCAGGGTCAGGAAGCCCAGGGAGGCCGGGCAGGCTGACCTCTCGGTTGGCACCCCACCCCCTTGCAGGTGGCTGTGTTTCTGGTGGACACAGGGGATGCCCTGAGCCCTGAGCTGAGCAGAGAAACAAGGACCAGGCTCTGCGCCCTCACCGCCATGCTGAGCTCCTACCAGGTGGGCCCCGCCCCCACCCCTCGCCCCGGCCCCTCAGCTCTCTCCACGCCAGGGCCACCTCAGCCAGGTCCGGCCCTCAGAGCGCTGAGGACAGACGGTCACTCTGGTCCTGGAGGCTTCTGTATCCGAGGGTGCCCCTGCAAGGGGGAGGTGCCCCTAGTCAGTGAAGGTGGGTCCCTGGGGCAGCTGGAGGCCTGTAGGACCGTCCCCCGGCCTGCCTTCCACCCCTCGCGGCCAGGCCAGCCCAGCCCAGCCTGGGCAGGCCCCGGGCCGGCCCCTCACACATCCTGAGCCCTGCAGGCTGCCGGGGCCTTCCTCCCCGGGGCCTTCCCGGTGTCTCTTTGTCTTCACAGACACTCTTCCACCTTGTTCTCCTTGGTTCCAGATCCTCACCACCTCCCAGGAGCTTAAGGATACAGACCTGGAACATCTGGAGGTGAGGAGATGGGGTCTTGGGGCTGCCACCTGTCCCTGCACTGATCATGAGGCCAGGGTCTGGACCAGTGGCACCAGGTGCCTCCGGATTCTGGCCTAGGCCTCCGGGACCTGGAGCAGGGGTGGGGGTTTGAGGGCAGAGGGTTGGGAGAGGCAAGGGGGCCCTGGAGCTGGGAGGGCAGTCCTCTAGAGGCCCAGGGGTAGGGTAGGCGCAGCCCTTGGAGTGGCCCAGCCTTGACCCTCTGTGCCCCGTCCCCAGACGTTTGTCCACGTGGCCGAGGTGATGGGCAGACACTATGGGATGGTACCAATCCAGGTGAGCGCCCGTTTCTGGACTCGCCACCCCAGACCCTGGCCCCCGGCGGCTGGCATCAGGACCCCTTCTCTTCCAGCACCTGGACCTCCTAGTTCGTGACTCATCCCACCCCAGCAAAGTGGGGCAGGGGCACGTGGGTGACATTATCCAGGTGAGGGGGCGCAGGGCAGAAGGTCGGAGAGCCAGGGAGGGGTCCTGCAGGCAAGCTCACTCCACAGAGCCCTTCATATCCCTCTCTCAGAAATTGTGCGGCAAATACCCCAAGGTCCAGGAGCTGCTCCAAGGGCGACGAGCCCGCTGTTACCTCCTGCCTGCTCCCGGGAGGTGGTGGGCCAGCCAGAGCCACAGCAGCCCAGGTGGTGAGTGTCCCTGGGGCAAAACCTCCCTGGCTCGCTCTCCTCTGGGTGACCGGAGCCCCTTGCACCAGCCAGCACAGCCCAGCCTGACACCTTCTCTCCTCCTAAAGCTGGTCCTGCTCACCCCAGGCTCTTCAGCATGAGGCATCTCTTCCTCAGACACAGACGGCGATGCCCGCCACCTCCGCACCTACGTGGCCGATGTGCTGAGCGCAGCCCCCCAGCATGCCAAGAGCCGCTGCCAGGGGTACTGGAGCGAGGGGCGCCCTGTGGCCCGGGGGGACCGACGCCTGCTCACGGGGCAACAGCTGGCTCAGGAAATCAAGGTGTGAAAGCTCCCTGGAGCCTCAGGAGACCCGCTGGTCCCCACGCCCCCTGACCCCGCACAATGTCTCCCCAGAACCTCTCCGGCTGGATGGGCAGGATGGGACCCGGGTGTGCCTCTCCAGACGAGGTATGTGGCTGCCGGGAGGACAAGGGCGGGGGAGGCGGCGGGATGCCCTGGGATGGAGATGGGGAGCCGGAAAATAGGCCGCGCCCGGTGGGGGCAAAGGAGGGAGGCAGCCAGGTTTCCTGTGGACAGATGGCCGCCCAGCTGCAGGACCTGCGGACCGTGGAAGCCGCCAAGAAAGAGTTTGAGGAGTATGTGCGGCAACAGGTGAGTCATGGGCCGCCGGGAGGCCTGGTGTCTGGCAGGAGGTACCTGGACTCCAGGTCAGGGCCCTCCCTTCTCCTCCGTCACAGGACATGGCCACCAAGCGCATATTCTCTGCACTCCGGGTGCTGCCAGACACCATGCGGAACCTCCTCTCGGCCCAGAAGGAAGCGCTCCTAGCCCGGCACGGGGCGGCCTTGCTGTGCTCAGGCCGGGAGCAGACCCTGGGGGCCCTGGAGGCCGAGCTGCAGGCCGAGGCCAAGGCCTTCATGGACTCCTACACCGTGCGCTTCTGCGGCCACCTGGCCGCCGTGGGCGGCGCTGTGG